TCCTTCCTTCCTTCCTTCCTTCCTTCCTTCCTTCCTTCCTTCCTTCCTTCCTTCCCAGTGTATTATTAACCCCAGCATAGATTATTAGTGGAATAAAATGTTAAAAGAACTACCAAAAAGTGAAAACTCATGCCATGAGGTCAATGGCCTTAAAATCTTGTGACTAAATATTTCTTACAAGGAGGATTGTAAAGTAGTGCTGAATGGGTGTGGGGAAAAAACCAGGATGTGCTTTTCTCATCAACATGTTCACCCACATGAAATAGAAGGAGACATGTATTCTACAGAAAGGCGTATCTATCCATTTCAGTTTCCCACTTTGACAAGTATGCCAAGTTCTACTTGTAAACGATTTCTGCAAATACTTTTATAATGCAGTCCATGTATCATTTCTGTATGAACTTTTCCCTAATATACATTGATCAATATACCTAGTTATATACTGTGATGCACCATTAGGAATTATGATGACTACAGCCTTCCTCAAACTGTGTGACCTTTAGATGTGTGGTCAAGTTCCAAGTCTCACAGTGCAGATCTGGAGAACGTGCAGATAAGAGAAGGCTAGACTATAATAGAGATAGAAACGCAACAACTCTCCATAACAGACAAAATTATAACCAGATGATTTGAATGCCTGGTTGGCTGCTTGACCTGTTGCTAGTTCAAGAGGAGGCGATCCAAAGCCTCTAGATATTTTTCAGCACAAACATCCTAGCGCCTCAGCATTGGTTATGATGGCTGGGATGCTAGAATTATCATTGGTTGCTGGGGTTCCTGGGGATTGTAGTCCAGAGCATCTAAAGATCATAAGGGTAAACCTCCAGCAGGTGACCAGCTGGTTCCTATTCTGTAGCCAGAGAGATTGGACCAAGCAATGAATGTTTCATAAACTCTTTGCCAAGAAAACTTTATATACCAGATATCTTTGCCATGAACAATATCTTCTTCTGGTGAATAACAATAAATCATCTTCTTCTTCTTCTTCTTCTTCTTCTTCTTCTTCTTCTTCTTCTTCTTCTTCTTCTTCTTCTTCTTTTTGGAAATAATTTTTTAATGATTTTGCAGAATGTTTGGAATTTAGGATGGAAAGCAAATGTAGTTTTTCTTGTATTTCAAGTTCTCTTCTTCGAATAAAAAAATCTAGAATATTGCAGCATCAACTACTTCATATATAATTCTGATCATTACATTTTGCCACCATCATCACTATCACCATCTTCATCACCACCATCTTCACCACCATGATCAATATATCTTCATCATCATTTAAAATCAAGAAATTCAAAGATGGATCAGTGGGCTAACAAATCCAAGAAGATATTTTTCTCAGCACTCACAGCTTAAGCTCATTGCTTATGCTTTGAATAACTGTTGATTTTTGGGGGGTATAATTTTATTAAACGTTTTTTTAAAAAGAAGATAAAAACTAATACAAACTAATATAAAATGAGAGAAAGTGAGAGAAAGAGAAGAAGAAAGGCATCAAAGAGAAAGCTAAAAGTGCACGAAAGGAAAAAAAGTAAAAGAAAAATAGAAAAAAAAAGATATAAAGAAATAGCTTCTGATCTTCTTTACAGCAGTTATAAGTACAATTATAAATTTGCCAGTTACTCCATGGTTACAACATAACTCTTTTCTCTATAATCTAGTCTGCCTAATCTAGTCTGTCTAATCATCAAAGCCATAAATCATAAGTTCATTTTTTTCTGTTTCACACAAAAATCTATAACGGGTTTACAGTCAGCAATAAACATAGATATTGTCTTTTCTATGATCAAAGAAGTCAATTTAGCCATCTTAGCAAGATCCATCATCTTCACCAACAATTCCTCCATTGTGGGTAATGCCAAATCTTTCCATCTTTGTGCATACAATAATCATGCTGCAGTTGTCATGAATAAAACCAAAATTCCATGACTTTTTTCCCAACCATTTGTCCATCAGTCCCAAAAGAAAAACCTCTGGTTTCAATTGCATATTAATCTTTTAAATCCTCTGAACCAGTTATGTATTTGAATCCAGAATTTTCTGGCTTTTTTACACATCCACCGAACACGATAAAATGTCCCTTCTTTTTGTTCCTATTTCCAACATAACTCTGAAGTCCCTTTATACATTCTAGACAATTTATCTGGTGGCATTATACCAACGGTA